CCGCGTTCGAGGCATCCTAGGGGTCCAGTGGGGTGGCGTCGTAAGCGCAGTCAGGCTGGACCCCGCGGCTCGCTCCCTGGGGGCGCAACTGCCGTTGCGTTCGTGGGCCCACGGGGGTCCAACGGAGTGTCGCCACACGCGCGCGGAGCATCGACTTCGCGGCTCGGTCCCTGGGGGTGCGGCCCCCTGAGCAGTAGTCGCCGCGTTCGTGGGCTCCCTGGGGGTGCTGAGCGGAGTGGCGTCACACGCGCAGCCAGACTAGACCTCGCGGCTTCCTGGGGCCCGAGGCGGTGGTCGTCGTCGTGCTCGTTGCCGTCGTCGTGGTTGTTGTCTCTGTCGTCGTCATGGCCGTGGCCGTGGTCGTCGTCGTGACCGCCGTCGTGGTTGTGATGGCCGTGCTTGTCGTGGTCGCTTTCGTGTTCGTGGTCCTCGTTTCGGTCATGGTCGTGGTCGTCGTCGTGACCGTCGTCATCATGGTCGTTGCGGTCGTGCTCGACGTCGTCATGGTCGTCGTCATGGTCGTGGTCGTGGTCGTGGTCGTCGTCGTCGTGGTCTTAGTCGTCGTAGTCGTGGTCGTGATCATGGTCGTGGTCGTCGCGGTCGTAGTCGTCGTAGTCGTGGTCGTGGTCGCGGTCGTCGTGGTCGTGCTCGTCATTTTCGTGGTCATGGTCGTCGTGTTCGTCCTTGTGGTCGTCGCTGTCGTGGTCGTTCCACCCCCCCCCGCGTGTCGCAGATGCTGCGGCGCGTCGAACATTCCACCGGCGCCAAGGCGGGAGTCCCCCCAATGTGTTACGGACTGGGTAGACTCCCGTGCGTGCTTTTGCGCCCAAAGCGGCCCGCGCCGACGCCTGAAAGCAAATGGAGCAAATGACCGTCGTCGTCTTGGTCGTGGCCGTAACCGTGATCGTCGTCGCCGTGGGCGTGATCATACTCGTGCTCATAGTCGTCATTGTCCTGGTTGTCGTCGGCGTGCTCGCGGTCGTCGTCGTAGTCGTCGTCGTCGTCGCGTTAGTCGTCGTCGTCGTCGTCGTCGTCGTCGTCGTGATCGTCGTCGTCGTTGTCCTCGTCGTGGTCGCGATCGTTGTCGGAACCGTCCTCGCCATCGCCAATGTCTTCATCTCTGCTGGCGTCATCGTCATCGTCGCCGTCAGCAGCATCGCTCGCACACGGTCGTCGCGGCATGCGATCTGGACCCCCCCCACCCCTAAGGACCCTTAGGAGGGAGGTGGGGTTCGTTCATCAGGATTCGGACGCTTCTCTCCCCGCCCGCGAGCCCACGTGCAAAGTTGAATGCAGCCTTTTGCATGTGCACCTCAGTGGCCTCGAAGTCGGGCAGCGAGCGAGCTCCTCCCCCTCCCTGTTCCTCCCCCTCCTTCTGCAAATGTGCAGTGTGTAGCTTGCTACACATTGCGAATGCGCAATGTGTAGCTTTGCATGTGCATATGTCTCGGGCAACCAGTGGTAGCAAGCTAAGCATTGCAAATGCGCAGCGCGCAGCCTGCTACCCATTTAAATGAGTAGGAAGCAAAACCTATGAACCTTCGCAACTTGCAATTTGTATCTTGCTAGGATATTCGTCCGGATGGCACGGCCCCTTCTCATCGCCAAATTCTTCCCCCAAGGCTTCGAATATACAGGTCCGCTATTCCTGACGACGGCGATGCTGATTACGACGGCGATGACCAAGGCGATGACCCACACGATGATTATGACGACGGTAACGACGATTCTGAGGCCAGGGCCGATGAAGACGAGGGCCAGGACGTTGAAAACGACGCCAGCCACGATGATGAGCAGAACGATGACGGCAACGTCGGTAAAGACGAGGATGTCGACGACCAGGTGAGAACGGTGCTGATGACGGCGACGATGACGAGGGCGACGATGATGACAATGACGATGGCGAGGATGTTTCCGACGGCGATTACGACCACGACTAAGACAACGACCACGACGGCAACGAACATGAAAACGACGACAACCAAGACGACAACCATGGACCATGACCACGGTTCCGACAACGGCTGCGACGACGACGACGATCACGACTATGAACACGACGACGGTCACGACCACGCAATCGACGACAGTTGCGACCACGACGATCACGACGACCACGGCAACAACCCAAACCACAACCACGACGACAACGACCATGACCACGACGACGACGACAACGACGACGACGACGAGGTCCACGAAGACGTACACGACCACAATCACGACCACGGCCAATACAGGTACCACAATCACGACCAAGACCACGACCACCACTAATTACCGTGGGCACGACAAAGAACACGACGACCACGACGACGACGACCGAAGCACAGATCACGATCACGGCGCTGGCGACGATCACGACCACGACCACGACGGCGACAACCACGACGACGACCACGACCACGACGACGGCCACGACAACGACAACGACCACGGCCATGACGACGAACACGGCAACAACAACGACCGCGACCACGACCACGACGGCCACAAGCACGACGACGACGACAAGAAAGACAACGACAACCACGACCATCACCAAGACGACGACCGCGACCGCAGCAATGCCGACGACGACGAAGACGGCGACGAGTACGACGACCGCGAAACGACGACGGCCATGACCACAGCCACGAGCACGACGACGGTCACGACGACGACAACGATCACGAAGGCTGTGACGACGACAACAACTAAGACAACGACCGCGACCCACAACGACCACCCCGACCCTGATGACGACGACCACGACCACGACAGCGACTACCACTGCCACGACGACGACGACCACGGCAACGATCATGAAAATGACCACGACCACGACGGCGACAACGACCACGACGACAACGACCACGAGCACAAAGAAAACGACCACGACGACTGCCACGATGACGACCACGACCACGACGATGACAATGACGACGGCCACGGCAACAACGACGACGACAACGATCACGAAGGCGACCACGACTACGACCCGATCACGATCACGGCGTTGGCGACGGTCACGACCACGACCACGACGGCAACGACCACTACGACGACCACGACCACGACGACGGCCACGATGACGACAACGATCACAATCATGACGACGACGAACACGGCAACATCAACGACAACGACGACGACCACGACGGCGACGACCACGAGCACGACGACGACGAGCAGAAAGACAAAGGCAACCACGACCATCACCAGGACGACGTCCGCGGCCGCAACCATGCCGACGATGACAAAGACGACGACGAGGACGACGACCGAGACCAAAACCACGACGACGGCCACGACCACAACCACGAGCACGACGACGGTCACGACTACGACAACGATCACGACGGCTGTGACGACGACAACCGCGACGGCACCCACAACGACCACCCCGACCCTGACGACGACCACGACCACAACCACGAATAATACCACTGCCACGACGACGCCCACGGCAACGATCATGACAACGACTACGACTACGACGGCGACAACGAACACGAAGAAAACGACCACGAGCACGACGGTTATCACCACGACGACTGCCACGACGACGACCACAACCATGACGAGGACAATGACGACGGCCACAACCACAACGACGACGACAACGACCACGACGGCGACCACAACCACGACGACGACGACGACCATCACGGCCAATGTGACCACGACCACAACGACAACAACGAACACGGCCACAACCCGGACGACGACCACGTCCCCGGCCACAATGTCCACCACAAGGACCACGATCACGACGACCACGACCACAACGACCGCCAACATCACGACGACGACCACGACAACGACGACCTCCCAATGAAGCCGCGAGGTCCAGTCTCCGAGGGTTGTGCCGAGATGGGCGCGGCAACCCCGTGTGGACTCACACGGGGGCTTTCGGTGGATCTGCTTATGGGGCCACGGACCGTGTAAAGGCGTGCCGAAAAAAGGGGCGCGGGTGCACAACGCGGACCTTCCCACAAGGGCCGTCGGTCGAGCTCCCCATTGGGCCACGGGCACTGGCCGTGCCAGGGGGGCCCTCGAAATGAGCGCGGCGGCACAGTAGGGACCCACCCATTGGGGCCCTCCATGGAAATCCAAATTGAGCTACGAATCGCGTGAGGGGTGCGTCGAACTGAGCTCGGCGGCGCCTTCTTCGCCCTCCCATAGCCTTCGGTGGAGTTCCCAACGGGGCCACGACCCACGAACCGCGTGAGGGGTGCGCCGCGCCGAAATTGGTGCGGCGGTGCCATGCGGACCCTCCGATTGGGGCCTTCGGCTGAGCCCCGTATGGGGCCACCAAAAGTGTGAGTGGTGTGCCGAAATGGGCGCAGTCATGATGATGATGATGATGATGATGATGATGATGATGATGATGATGATGATGACGATGATGATGATGATCATGATGATGATGATGATGATGGTGGTGGTGGTGGTGATGATGACGAACATGATGAACATGATAAAGATGATGTTGATGATGATGATGATGATGATGATGCTGATGCTGATGATGAGGATGATGCTGCTGATGATGAAGATGCTGTTGATGCTGATGGTGGTGATGATGATAATGATGATAATGATGACGTGAGGATGTTGATGCGATGTTTAGTGTTTGTCATGGTGATTGTGCGTTCGGGATTTTCGTCGCTTGGTTTCGTCAACATGATAGTATCAGGTTGTCATGTTGATTTTAAGCTCAGGGTTTTCAGTATTGGTTCTGCTAGCCTGGGATGTTCAGGTTTGTCGTGTTGATTGTGCGTTTGGGATTTTCGTTCCGGGCTCTGTTACCCCCAGATTCGCTTTGCCCTTTAAAAATGTGACCCGTCACATCCGAAAGCATCTGCAAGAGATACCAAACAGTTCGGACCGATTGGGGTGGCCACAGAAGTGGAGGGCGCAAACAGCGAAAAACCTCCCGTCGAAGTTCGTGTGTCACCACGCGAGGGGGTCTGGGACCCCATCTTGGAGGCCGGGGCCACCGGCGCCCCGCCGACCTGCCACTCGCCGGGGGACCGCGGCCTGCTCTGTGCCAGCTCGTGGATCCTGGCGCTGGCGCACGGGGAGGTCTGCGGCCGGGCGCGGCGCCGCCTGGGGGAGGCGTGGCCCGGCGCCGCTGGCGCGGCACGGGGCCGCCTGGAGGAGGGTGCCGTCGTCGTCGTCGTCGTCACCTTCCTCGAGTGGGAGAGACGTCGCCGAAGACGTCGTCGTCGCCGTCGGCTCCCTAGTCTCCGTCGTCGTTGACGTCGTCGTCAGTGCGCGTCGGCGTCGTCTTCGGTGCGCGTCGACGCCACCACCACCAGAGGCCAACGCCGGGGATGTGCGACGGGGGGGCGTCCATCCATCCTGGACAGGGATGCGTCCGAGCAGCCCCCCCCCCTGGGGGCGTCACCCTGGGTTCCCCCAGGCCCTGAGAGGCCAATGTCATTCCTGTTGGTAGGAACCAGGAGAAGCGACGCCATCACCACCAGGGACCACGAGCGGGCGGGGGCAAGGGCGGTCCCTGCGGTGGTGTGGTCCCCTCCTCTCGCGCGAGACATCCCCCATCCCCAACTCGGGGTGGGCATCGTGGAGCTCCTCGCTCAAGGTGGCCCCCCTGGTGGTGGTGGTGTCGCTTCACCTTCCCCCCATGGCACGGGGCCGCTCGGTGGAGGCCGCTCGGACAGTGACGGGGGAGCGTTCTCAGACATGCTCGCGTCGTGACCCCACACACACACACACTTTTTGCGTCGGCGGCTAGGCAGAGTCACTGCGCTGGCGAAGAAGAAGCGTTACTGGGGCACACAACACGCGGATTGGGCCGCGATGCACGGGGGAGGGAGGAGGACGCCCGGCCCGGGCAAGAGGGAGACGGAATGCCGGGCCCGCTCAGAGCAGGGCCAGGCGGCGGCGGGGTAGTGCCTGGGGGGAGGGGGGGGCAGCGGCGGCGAAGCAGCTTGGGGGTAGGGCAGCCCAGGCGGCAGCGGGGCAGACGCCAGGGGGGGTAGTGCCCAGCGCGGGCTGGGAGCGAAGGCGGCGAGCAGCGGAAGTCCGAAATTGCCGAGGTCACGTGTGCTCTGCGAGGCGCCCGGGAACAAAAGCAAGGGAGAGGCCACGGGCAGCACGCCCAAGGGGCTGGGGGCGGCGGGAAACACCGGAGGCGCATAGACACGACAAACACCGAGTCAGCAAAAAGCGCCCAGCCAGGACTGTAGAAGCCTGGCGCGGCGAGCCCTGCATGGAAGGTCAGGCGCCGAGGTCAGGCGTGACCTACGAGGCGCCAGGGCCGGGGCAACTGCCTCAGGCGAGGGGCGCGGCAAGAGGAGAGGCGCGCGGCGGGCAGAGCCCCAAGGCGGGAGTCGGGAGGGCGGGAGGTGCCGAGGTCGCTGGTGACCCACCAGGCACCCCGCGCGAGTGGAGCGACACTCAAGCTGGAAGTGGTGGGCGGAGCGGCCCATGACCAAAACCTGGAGAGAAGGCCGGTGGACCAAACTCCGCGGGCGAGCGAGCGCACGGAGTAGGGGCACCAGCGGGGGGCAGGGGCCTCCGCCGCGGGGGCAGGGGCCTCCGCCCAGTACAGCAGGGCGGGACAAGGGAAGCCAGGGGGCTGATGCCAGCAAGCCCGGGCACAGCCCAGGAGGCGGAGGCGCGGGCGAGAGGTGCCAAGAGGGGGCAGGGGGTGCCGAGGCCGCGGGTGGCCTGCACAGCACCCGAGAGGCCCGAAAGTGGACCCGGGAGGGCTGGCCTGAAAACCAAGCAAAGTGGCGGTGCTGCGCAAGACCAGCACCACCGAGAAGTGCAGAAGCTGCAAGGGGGGAGAAACGGCGGGCGCGAGCCCAGCGCCACCATCCTGCAGCAGGCCGGCGATGCAACCTGCAACCTGCACGGGGGAAGCCGAAGAGGGGACGCAGCGGCGGGGGCAGGCGCCTCGCCCCAGGGGCGCAGACGCAGGGGCGGGGGCGGCGGAGGGGCCCCGACCCCACGGGCGGGGCGAGGGCCCAACCGGGGGGGGGGGCGGGCGCCAGGGGCGGGCGGCAAAACCAGCCCACCCGGCGCCGAGGCCAGGTGCGAAAACCGAACGCCCCACAGGCGGGGCGCGGGCGCAGCGGTCTCGAGGCATGGGTTGGCTCCAGTGGTCGATCCCCGCCTTGCCAGGGGGGGGGGAGGGGAGAGGCCTGCGTGCAGGGCCGGGCGGAAGGCAGCCCACACCGGAGCGGGGCGCCACCTGGTGAGCGGAGCCGACGCAGCACGCCGCCGGTGTGCCACGACGCGGGGCGCAGCGAGGCGCCAGAGGCGGCAAGTTGGGGGGGCACCGAACAGGTGCATTGATGGCGGCCAGAGAGGAGGGTAGCACCGAACTGGTGCACTGAATGGCGGTAGGATGCGAGCAAGCCGCCGCGGGGGGGGAGGCGGGGGCAAAACCCTGTCTTAGCCGAGCAGGTGCACTGACATTTGGAGACAGCTGTAATCGGCGGGCAAAGGGGGGTAGCAGGAGCGCGCGGGGGCGGATCCGACAGAGGGGGGTGGGCGCCAGGCCCGACTGCGGCCGCCGCCTACTATTGCAGCGAACCGCAGAACCGAACCACGAACCGCAAAACCGATCTGACCAAGGGAGAACCGACGGAACCAGAACCCGTCGGAAACCCAACGTGAACCAAAACCAAACCAAACCGAACCGGAGGCTGTGGAACCGAACCGGGCCTGAACCGGGAACCGAACCGGGAACCGGTCGTGGAGGTGGTTGGGATTGCCCGATGCGAGCGCCCACTCTTGTGCTAGGTCCATCCCGCCCGCTCCCAACTCCTTCCCTGCGCCTCCGAGTTCCCTCGTCCTGTTTTGCTGCTTATCCAGGGCCGAACTGGGGACGGAAGCGCGGCGGAAAAGCTCAAATCGAATTTTTGGACGGTTCGAAAATGCGTTTTGGGCCTCCAGGTGGTTTTCGGAGCCTCCAAGGCTGCCCTGGGGATGGCAGGGCGGCGGAAAAAGCTCAAATCGTATTTTTGGACGGTTCGAAAATGCGCTTTGGGCCCCGAGATGGTTTTCGGAGCCTCCAGGGCTGCGCTGGGGACAGAAGGGCGGCGGAAAAGCTCAAATCGTTGTTTTGGACGGTTCCAAGCGGTCCTGGAGTGAGTGGTCCGTACTGTCCCAGATCGTAGTCCAAGCGTTTTCTATTTTGGCGGTGAGGAATCGCCGGCTGTCGCCAGAGCCCCCTGGTCCAGCGGGCACGCTGCTGTCGACTGGTCCGTCGAGGGCACCATGCGTGACGTCTGGGCCCAGTGGCTCCCCTGGCTCGTCGAGTAGCTGGGCTCAGTGGCTCCCTTGGCTCCAGGGTTCCTCCAGACTCCTGGTTGAACTGAACCTCCAAACGCCTCAAAATGATCATGTCGACGCACACGCGCACACGTCATCTGCAAGAACCGAGAACCGAAATGGAACCGGCTGAAACGGAACCACCCTCTGAATGGGAACCGCCTCAAACAGCTCCGAAACCAGAACCGTATTGAACCGACCGAACCAATTTCCCCCGAACCGAAGCCAACCGAACGGAACCAGGGACACGCTGCCATTGGCGACTGGAGGAGCGGGGGCAGCGCTGTCTGGCGAGGTCGTTGCTAGGCCAGGTGGGGTCGGGTGCCGTGGGGTGGGGGCCTTTCCCTTTGCCTTTTCCACCCTGGCTGGCGAGCCTCCTTCTTCACACACAAACGCACACACCAAAAACTCACGACGGCAAATGTCATGGCTATGCAGGCGATGTTCGGCACCCGGGGGCCATCGCCGGCCCCCAGGACCGTCAGAATTGACTGGGGATGCAAAACCGTCCCTGGGGAAAGGTCGGGACAACCAGGGGGCCCGCGTGGCAAACATGGACACATCGGACGTCGGGGTTAAGTGGGGGCCGGCTCAGGGAGGGGTGGACATCGATTCCTGGAACCGAGGATACGGAGCCGATCGATCGGCGATAGGCCCCCGATAGCGTATCCGTATGCTCCTGGGCGGGATGGGCTATCGGGCCCCTGTCGGCGATGAGTGGGTGATTCGATGGGGGTCGGCGCATCCCCCCCTGGGCCTGTCCCCCCTGACAGTGCCCTTGAGATGAACCAGGGTGAAGAAGCGAACTGCTGTTCCGTGTGTCGCTCGGCCTTCCCCCCGAAGGAGCAGAAACGAGCACGCAAGCAGACGCCACAGTGCGGAGGTCCGCGCGGGATGCTCGGGTCGGCGCTGGGGCACCCCCTTGGCGGCGCCAACGGCGCCGCCCCTGGCTTAGATGCTCATTCTGGGGACCTTCCTGGAGCCACTCGCTCCACTCGTGCGTCGAAGCTGCGTCGAACCTGAGTAGAACCTGAGTCGAAGCTGAGTCGAACCTGAGTCGAATCTGAGTCGAATCTGTGTCGAACCTGAGTCGAACTTGAGTCGAACCTGAGTCGAACAGATCCATTAGGTGGGCCCCAGGAAGGTCCCCAAAACGAGCATCGAACCTGGCTCGCCCCGCGCGCCAGGGAGGGGGGGGGGCCAGCGCCGCTGCAAGGAGCCCGCGCGGACCCGGTCCCGCGGCGGCGGCCCCTGCGAGAAGCCACGCCCTGGGTAAGCCGACGGCGTGCTCCTCTGCTGCGTGGGACGGGAGGCGGGCAAACGTGGGGGCTGGGGGCGTGCTTTACGTCGGGCTTGTCCCCCTACAGGGGGACTGTCGACGACAAATAAAACATACCCCAAACAGAATCCAAAAATCATCCAAAAATAGTGCGGGGGCTATTTTTTGCATTTTTTGTTACCTTTTTGGTCTATGTTTGGGGTATTCTTGATTTTTCGTAGAAAATCCCCTGGTAGGGGGGACACGCCCGACATACGACGTGCTCCGCGTGCCACGCCCGAGCGTGGTGGGCCAGAGCCCGCGGCGCGATACTCCCAGCGCACGTTCCCGGCCGCAGGCCCAAGCCGGGCGAGGCGAAGGACGAGGAGGAGGACGAGAAGGAGAACGAGACGAGGACGAGGACGAGGAGGAGGATAAGGAGGAGGACGAGCACGGGAACGAGTATGAGGAGGACGAGGACGACGACGAGGACGAGGAGGAAGAGGACGACGAGGACGAGGAGGACGAGGACGAGGAAGGACGTGACGTCGGAGCACTCGACGGGCGGGGCGAAGGGCCCAACAGGCGAGCAGCACTCCGCGGGGAGCCTCGCCGAGGGTATGGACCATCGCGCGGCGCCCCTGGACTGACGCATTTTGCTCCCCCCCGGGGCTGCTTGCCCACGTCGCCGCCTCCCAGGACCGCGCTGCACTGAAGGGGCCCTGGGACACCCAAATACATGCACACAAATAAAAGGATTCCCCATATTTAGGGGGAAAACAAACCTACCTCGCTTTTGACCACCCTCGCTTCCAAGAGATACCAAACGACGCCAAATTGCAGCCTGTACTGGTCGATCCGCTTGACGAGGAGGCGCGTGGTATGGCTTGGTTTTGCCTGGAAGCGAAAGCGGGGTAGGTAATTCACGCTCTGAATATTTTCTTATATTTTCTGGGTTTTCGTCTTCCCCCCACTTCCCAGATCTTCCCGCATTTTCCTGGGAGTGGACGATTCATTGTGTTTGTGTGTTTCTTTCCCTCCTGAGTATTGCTGCGCGACCCTCCGACGCCAATGTTGACTCCGGCCCCAGAACTCGGGCGGTGGCAGAACTGGGTTCAGTGGAACCTGGTTCAATGATCTGTACCGGGGACGCCCCCCCCGTCCCATTCCACTAACCGGAATGGCCGTCACCCGGAAAAGCACCAACTACGGCAAACCTGGTTTAGTGATCCCCATCAATACATCAAGATTTTGGGCCTCGGGGCCCCATCACTGACCGGCTCCCCTTGACAGGCGGTCCTGGCTTCACCCGAACTGGCCATCGCTCGGACGCCCATCTCCTGTGCTTTTTTTCGGCTTCGCGCGTGGCCTGTCCTCGAAATGATCAAAGGATGCTCCTCGATGGCCCTCGCCGCGGGAAAAAGGCACACGTCCGAGCGATGCCAAGCGAAGAACGTTCGGGCGCCCCGCCCCGTGCCTGGGGGAGGTGGACGCGGCGGCGCGGTCGGGCCCCGCCGGCGCGGCGCGGGGCCGCCCGGGCGGGGAGGCCGGCGCGCCGGCGCAGGGGCGCGGGGCCGCCCGGGCGGGGAGGCCGGCGCGGAAGCCGAAGCGCGGCAGGGCCCCGCCGGCGCGGCGCGGGGCCGCCCGGGCGGGGAGGCCGGCAGGGAGGCGGCCACACCTGGCAGCCTCCTCCTCCTCCTCCTCCTCCTCCACCCTCCTCCTCCTCCTCCTCCTCCTCCTCCTCCTCCTCCTCCTCCTCCTCCTCCTCTGGGCCCCACCTGGCAGCGGGCCAGGGTCCGCCGAGAGGGCGCGGGGCCGCCCGGAGGCGGGCGACGCGGAGGCCCTGGCCGGGTCCGCGAACATGGCCCGGAGCTGCCGCGCCCAGCGGCAGAGGTCGGCGTGCCTAGAGGCCTCCTAGATGGGGTCGGAGTAGATGGGGTCGAAGGATCGCGCAGTATCGGCGATACATCGGCGATGCATCGGCGATGCATCGGCGATGCACTGGCGATGCATCGTCGACGTCGACGATGCATTGGCGACGTCGACCTGAAGCAAATCGGGCCCTACATCGAGCCGCATCGGCGATGCATCGGCGATGCGGCGCGATCCTCCGACCCCATCTACTCCGACCCCATCTAGGAGGCCTAGAGTGCCCGTCCAGGCGGAGGGTGAGGGTGCCGGAGTCCAGGTCGAAGCGGAAGCCGTCCTGCAGCACGACGACCTCCAGGACCTTCGGCGGCAGCTCATGGGAGCCTCCCATACCATACTGTCGGCTCTCGCGAATCGACGCCGGTCGACGCTACATCGGCGCTAATCGACGCCAAATCGACGCTCACCGACGCTAAATCGGCGCTGTCTCATCGACTCCCAGACGCGAATCGACGCTAATCGACGCTGAAGACGGGATTCAGAGGGTGTACCAGGCTCCCATGATTTGGTACCCAACAGCACCTGCTCTGGCCAGATCGTCGTTTCTCTGGGCGCAGGGGCTTCCGTGGCGTCGCGCCCCGTGTGGAAGAACTCAAGGCGGTCCAAAAAACAGACGAGCCGGTGAGGCTCTGCCCGCCCCTTTGTCACTACCTGAACCGTGCCCTCCAAGACCGGCCTCTCCTCCAACTGCGGCTGGAGCAGTACTGCGGACTGGCCCCGAAATAACGAAACACGGCACTTTGGATGGAGCAGCAGTCTCAGCAACCGTAGCCAGGCCTCTGCGTCCCTGGCACTGCTCGCGAGAAGTTCCACGCATCTCCTGGGATTCTGAAAGTGAAGCTTGAAACGCTGATCCTCGCCATCGACACTGTCGATACTGGCGAGTCGATAAAAACCACGAGGAGGATCCCCCCGTTCGAACTCGCCAGCATTGTTGTAATACTCGATGTGCTTGCGGAACAAAACGATATGTCTCTCTAGAGCTTTCTCATGTCCGACGAACGTGAGCGTACCCTGGCACATAACCGTCTTAGTAGCCTCAACATCTACCTTGTTGCTAGCGGCATGTGTCCGCTGGGGTGACGCTGTCCTCTCAAATTCTGAAACCGGGGATTCGAGATGAGCGTCGCGATCGAACAATCTGCGAACAATCCTGGAATTGTTCTGCACTCCGGCCTTCTCCAGCGCACTGGCCCAGTGCCGCAAGCCCGCAGGGAGAGACGATCCCAGTGTCTTCTTTTTCCTGCTCAAGTGCAGTACGATGTTCTCATCGGTGGCGTCGAAACAGACAATATCCGACAGCACGATGCAACCTCTCTCCGCTTCTGGGCTGGCCAAGTAGTCGGCGTGAACAGTGTAATACTTCAGACAATTATGAAACAGTACCACGTACCTGGAGGAAAGCAATAACCATCTGAACATACAGCTTCTTGGCGGCGAGCGAGGGGGGACATGAGAATGAGAAGGCCTTCTCAGAAGGTGGCGGGACTCCTCAGAAGCCCTCGAGCCTCCTGAGGAATGCTCTGTCCTCGGGGCAGGCTCAGAAAGCATGTCAGACTCTCCCCGTCGCTCGGGCGTCCATTCCCTGTGCTTTTGTTCGGCCTCGTGCGTCGCTTTTGTCGCAGGATGATCCAGGATGCTCCTTAATAACCCCCGCCGAGAAAAAGTGCACACGTCTGGGCGATGCCGAGTTCTCACTTCCCCCCCGCGGTCCGCGCAGACTTCCGGCATCGGCGCGGGAGCCCCGCCCCCGGGCGCACCGGGCGCGCCGGGGGTGGCGCCGGGTGCCGCTGGCAGGGCGCCCAGCGCTGAGGCAAGAGGTCTGCCGAAACCTCCGCTTGCCGCCGCTCGGACGTCCAATTCCCCGTGCAGTCCTCCGTTTCGTGCGTGTTTTGTTCTGACTACCTACCAAACCACCCCAACCCAACCCGAAGACCCGAACTTCGGGTTGGGGGGGGTACGAGCTTCATGTGTGTTTTCTCAACGTTCCAAACCAACCTGTGTTGTTGGGTCCTCGTTTTGAAGAGACGGTCCCCGCGTTCCTCCTTCCTCCTTCCTTCCTCCTTCCTTCCTCCTCCTCCTCCTCCTCCTCCCTTCTCCCTCCTCCCCCTCCCCTCTGGCACACCCATTCTGGCACACACGTTTCGTGGCCCCATAGGAGCTCCACCGAAGGCCCCAGTGGCTGCGCCCGCATGCGGTTCCACCCCCCATTCTGGCACACCCCTCACACGTTTCGTGGCCCCATAGGGAGCTCCACCGAAGGCCCCAGTGGCTGCGCCCGCATGCGGTTCCACCCCCCATTCTGGCACACCCCTCACACGTTTCGTGGCCCCATAGGGAGCTCCACCGAAGGCCCCAGTGGCTGCGCCCGCATGCGGTTCCACCCCCCATTCTGGCACACCCCTCACACGTTTCGTGGCCCCATAGGGAGCTCCACCGAAGGCCCCAGTGGCTGCGCCCGCATGCGGTTCCACCCCCCATTCTGGCACACCCCTCACACGTTTCGTGGCCCCATAGGGAGCTCCACCGAAGGCCCCAGTGGCTGCGCCCGCATGCGGTTCCACCCCCATTCTGGCACACCCCTCACACGTTTCGTGGTGGCCCCATAGGGAGCTCCACCGAAGGCCCCAGTGGCTGCGCCCGCATGCGGTTCACACCTCCACCCCCATTCTGGCACACCCCTCACACGTTTCGTGGCCCCATAGGGAGCTCCACCGAAGGCCCCAGTGGCTGCGCCCGCATGCGGTTCCACCCCCCATTCTGGCACACCCCTCACACGTTTCGTGGCCCCATAGGGAGCTCCACCGAAGGCCCCAGTGGCTGCGCCCGCATGCGGTTCCACCCCCCATTCTGGCACACCCCTCACACGTTTCGTGGCCCCATAGGGAGCTCCACCGAAGGCCCCAGTGGCTGCGCCCGCATGCGGTTCCACCCCCCATTCTGGCACACCCCTCACACGTTTCGTGGCCCCATAGGGAGCTCCACCGAAGGCCCCAGTGGCTGCGCCCGCATGCGGTTCCACCCCCCATTCTGGCACACCCCTCACACGTTTCGTGGCCCCATAGGGAGCTCCACCGAAGGCCCCAGTGGCTGCGCCCGCATGCGGTTCCACCCCCCATTCTGGCACACCCCTCACACGTTTCGTGGCCCCATAGGGAGCTCCACCGAAGGCCCCAGTGGCTGCGCCCGCATGCGGTTCCACCCACCATTCTGGCACACCCCTCACACGTTTCGTGGCCCCATAGGGAGCTCCACCGAAGGCCCCAGTGGCTGCGCCCGCATGCGGTTCCACCCCCCGTTCTGGCAAACCCCTCACACGTTTCGTGGCTCCATAGGGAGCTCCACCGAGCGCCCCAGTGGCTGCGCTCGCATGCGGTTCCACCCCCCCATTTCGGCACACCCCTCAGTCGTTTCGTGGCCCGGGGGCGCCACCGAAGAATATATCCACAATTGCGGTATTCACAACTACGTATGGTTGGCTCTTTCGTCAGGCTAATTCCCCGACCCCCCCAACTGGAAATGGAGGGCAAATTGGGGCCTTCGGGTTGGGTTGGGGTGGTTTGGTGGGCGGTGATGTTCTGGCTCGATGGTCCAGGATGCTCTTCGTTGGCTCTCGCCGAGAACAGATGCACACGCCCGAGCGATGACAAGTCCGAGAGTTTGTGGTCGGGCCGCTGTTGCCCCTGGGGTACCTCTCCTCGGCACGGCTGCCGGTCTGCACGCGCAGGTTGCCTTCGCACAGGACGCCGGCCATGGGCGCGGCCTCGTCCTCGGAGGGCGACGGCGGCCTCTGAACCAGGTCGCCTCTGAACAGGAATGGCTACAAGGCAGCACGGCCAGGGAGCGTTGGTTGACATGTGGGGTCCGTGCCGGGCAACCTGTGTTTTAGTACATGGGCTACGGCGCATTGAGCTAAAACATTAACCCTACTATCTCTATACATCCAGAGACATCCCCGTGAGCACGTGTGTGCATATATGTATGTACATACAATGTGCGTGCGCCCAGGCCCAGACAGAACCCATTCCACGATCACCGCACGACGCTCTGCAAACGTAGGGCTAGAAAACGGACAGGGGCGCATCACGAGTGGCACCATCGGGGAATGCGCAAACGCACGGTGCCAACACGCGGGCCACACACAACTCTCGGGAGCGGCCAAGAGGGGGGTGTCCAAGAGGGGGGGGGGTGCAAATCATGACCAGCGGCATGTGCGCGGCCCCGCGGGGGGGCCAGGGACGCAATGAAATAACAAGAGGCGCCGTGAGATCTGGGGAAATATCGTGGCCCACGCCATGATATCCCCCCCCCTAGTCATCCCCCCCCCCTCTTCTCCGCTCCCGACAACGCGCGGGCCACGCACAACTCGAGCGGGCACGCGGGGAAGCCTGCGGAGACCGGGCTCCCGAGAGCGAGAGCACACATGTGTGTGCGCGGCCTCCCGGGCGGGCCCGCGTGCGCGGGGCAGTGCTGGGAGAGCCCGCGGGGAGGAGAGGCCCCGCGGGCGACGGCAGGAACCCGCGCCCAGGGCAGCCAAGACCCCAAACGAGCCACTGGCCATCGCTCGGACGTCCATTCCCTGTGCTGTTTGTTCGGTTTCGTGCGTGGCTTTTTCGCGAGATGATCAAGGATGCTCCTCGATGGTCCTCGCCGAGGGAAAAGTCCGCGCGTCCGAGCGATGCCAAGTCAGAGGGCAAAGGTTTCCTTCTGAAGCCCCCCCCACCGACCCCTCCGAGCAAAGCTGTAGCCAGCGTGCTGGATGCAACCTGTTCGGCCTCCAGGGCGAACAAGAGACTTCTCAATTCTCCCCCCCCGCACCACTGGGAGCTAAAGTCAACCTACAATTAAAACTAACGATAAGGATCTTAAGACCCAAAGAAGCAAAGGGCCCTAGCCAGGCAGCGTCCTTCCCGCCGCAGTGCGAAAGCCAAGGATGCGAGCGCCCGCAAGGATACCAGTCGGCTGGGGGGGCCGCAAACGTCCTACGGATGACCCGAACCGAATGATGCAAGGCGTCAGTGCGGAAAAGGCCAGCCCCTCACGTGTTTTATGCTGTGCTATCAGAGAGGGGTGTTCAAAAGCGAGAGAAGCCCCAATGGAGTCACATGGGCGTATGGCGTATGGGTTCGCGAAGAACGCCAGTCGAACACCAACGCAACTGGCGGCATTTGCTCGGGCTGCACGCAGCGCGCGGCCCTCGAGAAGAGCAGGAACGGTCAGCATCGAATTACATCGGATCGGATCGGAACGAACATCGAATCGGGCCGCATCGGCACGGCGTCGGAATCGAATCGGCAAAGAAGGTTGTGTGGCGGCGAAGATATCAGGTTGTGCAAAATGGCTTGCACAATGGATGGAAGCCATTCGATGAAGCGGCTGACCACGCCCCAAGCCCATTGGCGAATTCCGAGTGGGATCGAGCGGGGTCCTGTCTTTCGAACGGTCCGGACCGAGCCTAAAGGGGCATTATCATTGTATCCATCTGGTCGCATTGCCCAATCAGGCAATAAGCTCAAGCTGAACCGTCGCACACGAAGTCGCACGTGGTGCTTGGACTGGTTCAGGACGTGGTGCCAAAGGGCGTCTGGGATACTGCCCAACGATCGCATAGTTTGCTCCGTAGTTCAACGGGCGAAGAACGGTATAAAGTAAACTTTTTTGATGTCGGGGGCGCCTGTCCCTGGGCGGCTGGAAAGTTTATTATACCCCTGCGGTGCCACCCACCGAAAGGGTATAAACTTTCCAGCCGCCCAGGGACAGGCGCCCCCGGCAGCGAAAAAAAATAGTTTGTACCGTTCTTCGCCCGTTAAGCAGTTGCCCTTCCCTCGAGCTGCGCGCCGTGGCCATACACAGCTAATTGTCTGGTTCCACCAGCTCGAGCGCGCGAGGCTCGTTCCGTTCCGCGCACTGCTCGTCGGGCGCCCGTGCCGCCGCGACGGTCGCATGGACCTGTTTTGGTGCTCTCCTGTGCCCCAGTGGCGCGACCGCCCAGTCCTGTGTAAATTGACACGGGGGCCATGAAATTGTCCGCCCCATCGTGCCTCCAGAATCGAAGCTGTAGAGTCCGCTCGGGGCAGACATGCTGGCCATTACAGTCTGCGGAAAAATTGGAAATGCAATTGAGCGATTTTCGTAAGGCGAGCGTCGCGCCACGATGGCAGCGTTTCTCTGGCGCGAAACAGAATGTCGCAAAATGCTGTCTGACATGTCATTGTCTGGCGTGCCCTATCTAGTATGTCGCTGACACTTCTTGTCGGACGTGCCTTGGGCGAGACAAATGCCGCGAATTGTCGTTACCCGTCGCCGATGCATCAACCTGTCGCCGAGGGCGTTCGGGGGGTACGGATCGCCCCGAACGGCTGCCGGAGGCCCGCGTTATGACCCGACTGCCATTCGGAGGAAGCACACTTGCGCAGCGAAAACTGCGCGCGCGAAAAGACCCCGACAGCGGCGCCGCAGGAGAGCAGCGGTGGCTCGCCACCACAGCGGGCGTGCCTGGCGCGTGTGGCCGCGCGCCCGGCACGCACGCGGCACGGCACTGCGCACGTGCCGCACTCCGAGCACCAGGCGCGGCATGGCGCGGCACACCACGGGCACGGGCACGGCTCAGCTGCCGCACTCCGATGCCCAAGCGCGGCGCGGCACGGCGCAAGCTTCGCGTGCCGACGACCAAGCGCCGCACGGCACGGATCGGCACGGCGCAGGCGAGAGAACCGCGATAACGCAAGCTCTCAACAAACACGCATGCAATCATGCAGGATTTGGGACGCCGGAAGCAGACAGTACCACTGGAACCATGATGACGACGCGCCAGAGAGAGCGGGCCCGACGCGAGCGCGGAGTCCATGTCCAAATATTTCTTCTCGGACTGTATGCACAATGCCATGTGAGTGGCGGCAACAGGGAGGTGGACGCCAGGGCAGAGATCATAGTAGACACGACAACCTGCACCATGGATGGAACACATCGCTCAGGCATCTGACCGCGCCTCCAGCCCCAAGTGTGCTCCAGCGGGCCCCAGGTGCAACCGCGGCAGAAAACCTCATGGGGAATCTCCTCCGTCCGGTCCACGGTCCGCCTTGAGCCTGGAGGAGTTTTCGAGCTTGACCCCCCTGGCTGCCTTACCCCATCTGGCATGGGGTTCAAACTGAGCCGTCGCGCTCGATGCAGGATCTGTCCTGCTCTCGGGCAGCACACCACCGTGGTGCGCCAGGCCTCTGGTCCCACCGATGGGGTCACGGCGCCCCTAAGCCATAGCTCGTTAAGCATCCTGACCCTCCTGCTCCTCATCGCCCATCGCCTCCTCTTGTTTCTCGCCATCCTCCTCCCGCTCCTCTTCATCTACCCCTCTCCGTTCCTCTTCCTTATCCCCCAAACCTGCCCCCTTATTTCTCGTACTCCTCCTGATCCTCCTCGCCCTGCCACTCGCTTCGCTGCTCTAAGAGAACCCGCTTCCTTTTCTTCGGTGCAAGGGCAACAGGATGCCAGCTTGCCAACAATGCAATGGGGACGCAGGGCATAGGCAGAGAAAGACAGAGAGAGAGGGGGGAGAGGGAGGGGGGGGGTCGTGGAGAGAAACATGGAGAGGGATGGAGAATGAGAGAAGGAGGGAGAGTCAGAAAGAGAGAGAGAGAGAGAGAGCGACAAGGATGACGGGTAATACCTCCTAGACCGACTTGCAGCCGACGTGGTGCACATTGGGTGCACATGTCCTCCAACGGAAGTAGAATGGAGCATGGAACATCAAGGCCCGTCCGAAACCAGAATGGCTCTGGGGACCGATCCGCGCTGCCTGCGGAGCTGGATTTGAAATTGTGGAACCGCTGTTCTGGAGTGTGTGCGAACTCAGAAGGGCAATCCTCGGCTCAGGATCCAGCTCGCTGGCCGGCGATGACCTCTGCGGCTCGCGTCCCTGTCTGAGGTGTGAAAGAGAGAGAGAGAGAGAGAGCTAGAGGGAGGGAGCGAGACAGGGAAGGATG